AGTTACTGTAGCTATTGTTTGGAGTTTTTCTAATCTCAAGTAATTATTTACAAAAAAATGAATTGGAAATATATTTCAATCGACTTTTGATTTTTTCAATATATTTGATATATTAGACAATATCAAAAATTGTCTAATGGATTTTTGCTATAATCTAGTGTTTCATAAATCTTTAAAGAGACTATGAAAGACAAAAATTATATAAATTTTCATGAAAATAAAACACGTTTTAGGTATTGAAGTAAAAAATCCTTTTCAAACACTATGATTCGATTTTTTACATTATAGATTAATAGCTCTGATGTCAATTTAACTACTAGTTCCTTAAATAGATATGTGTTTGTTATTATATTACCACCTTTCAATAATGATATTGAAAAATATTTTACAATACACATGTTTAGCAGTAGGCTGAGTCTTATATAAGAATGTATATATATAATTATTTTACTTTAATCTTGTATGGATGTGTAATTCGTTTTTCCCCTTAAAAAACGATTTTCACCAAATCCGAAATGCATTTATTTCATGCATTTGACTTAAAATATTTTATTTTATTACATTTTTATTGGATCGTGATATCACAAAACAATTTCGGATAAAATATTGAAATTTAATTTAATTTATTATTTATTTAATATTTATCATTTAATTTTCCCAAAAACGCATTTCTTATGATTTTAAAATAAACAAGTTTTCTAATGAACTTTATTATGACCGCCACTGTCTCTGTTATGCTTTGACCTTTAGATATAATGGATTATTAAAATCTAAAGTTAATATATTCACAGCAAACTATTATTCTGCATTATCCTACTTGTTCGAATTGCTCTCGATACGCCACGAAAACCTTGACCATGGATGGTATTCGTTGTTCAGCCAATAAGTGCAGAACGCACTGAAAACTATGGTAAATGGAAAATGTCAACCATTAAGCAAATTATGCACAGAAACAACTATAAAAATTTTATATGTCATGAAACGTTTTAATTATTTTTTAATTTGTATTTCTAATATTTTTTTGTGATAATTAAATCGTTAAAAATTAAATTTATTCTAAAGGTAAAATTTTTAAGAAGAATCGCAATATTTAACTCATATTTCATGACTTACAGTTTTAGTGATATTGGAAATGAATTATGATCTTTATGATCATCACTCTTAGTGTTCGTCTTTATGATTTATCAGAAAATTTTAGAGTTAAAGAAAAAATCCATGCTACCATGAAAATGTTGTATTAAAATAATTATCACATATATGTAAAATATTTATTATTTTTCTAACCAATAATACAGTTTATACGACTAAAAAATTAAAAAATCGAATGGAGTCCTTGCAGTCCGGTAATTGTTTATATGCAGTAACAACTAACAGTTGCTGCATAGGTCAGGCACAGTTTTTTGACGCCACCGTTTGAAGTGAAACGGCCATTTGAGAAAAACCCGGACAATGTTAAGCATATCTTTTGCTGTAAGGTTTAGCTGTCACGAAATTTTCGTTCTTAATGTAAACAAGAATTTTGAGTATAATTTTTTTGTGATTTGATTCAAATCAAAATCTTTTTAACAAAAGTTTTAAAAACTAATTTTTCCTTTGTAGTTTCGTATGTCTTCATAACAAAGCAGTAGTTTAAAAGTAACGGTATGGCATATTCTCTATTATCACTGTGTCCCTAAAAAATTATGTAATAAAACTTTTTTTATTGCGGTTCCATATTTTCTTGTTTGAATGTCAATTAAATCATGATTTAGGCTGACTATGGTCTTCTAATAAAAACGGTTTTTATTAACACTAAAATGTTCTAGTTATCTTAAAAAGCAATATTTGTTGTACTATGTTCCACTCTATTATTATTATTATTAAATAATAACAAATAACTCAACAATCACATCAAATTCTATTAATTTTTATTTAAAACTAATATTTTTTTATATTAAAATCAAATTCTTAGAATCAAATTGAAAAAATGTGAATAGAAATAAAAAATTGTACCAAGTCTTATAACAATTCGCATATAATTGAATAATTTTATTTATACATAAAAACACATTTAAAAAAAGTAAATTTATTTTGCAAGTGCAAGTTTAAAGACAACAAAATATTTGTTATACGAATTATGGCGGGACACTTGTCAAGATCTGTGCGTCTACTTAACACAGCCAATAATTTTTCCCTTTCTCATTCTTCGCCCTATTTTTTCCATATATATTGTTGAAAATATTTTCCTCACACTAATATTTTCTTTTATGTTATGTTTTAGTTTTTGTTTAGTTTAAATTAACAAAAATCGGTGACAGATAAAGCCACCACAGCATGTGTAAGCTGGCAGTCTAGTATTTGTTTCCAATGCAATCAAACTGTTTATGCAAAAATATCGCCTGACTATTTATATATCTGCTTGTTTTTTTATTAAAAATTATTGTTTAATTTTGCTGCAATTTTATACAAAAATATACTATGCTTCACGTATGAATAACATTCTTTCCAGTGGAAATGTAATATAATTTATCACAATTTCTTTTATACTTTCTTTACGGGTAAGCTTCTGAAATGTATTAGTTGCAATTTTAAAGAAAAATTTTTGGTTGCAATAAATAAAATCAAATTTTTTATTGTGTGATTGTTATTGCATATATAATCTGAACATTCATTCAGTTTTTATATATTATTTGATTTTTAATTATATTTTTCTAACAATTTAACATAAGAGCCATAAATATTATGCAGAAATGCCAAAATAAATGACAGTCTTGAGCAAAATTTATGTCTGTGATTTTAAAACTTATGTGTAGAAATTGACATAGTAATGTTTTGCAAATTATTTTTCAATATAAAAAACATATATGTTTCCCTGTAAACATTTTACAAACATTTATCGATATTTTTAAAGTGTCTGCTAAATTTATTATAATCATTTAAAAAAATTTTTAAACAAATAGTTTATTATTATAGATTACTATTATAGATTAATTATTAATAGAAATAAATAACTAAACTATTGCATATTGATTCTTATAAATATATATTACAATAAACAAGAGTTTCCATACTGACGAAAATATTTTCTGCCACGATTCATAGCAAACATTTTTCACACTACTGTTACGCATCTTTTTCTAAAGCTTAAGCAAATCGCTCGCAAATCGTAGAAGTCATTGTATATTATGAACATAAAATAGAAAAAAAACTTACATAGAAATGTATAACAGCAGTTTTGAGTGGCATTGGCCAATTTCTGCTGCCAATATGGCTCAGTTCGCTGCGTGCCTTTGTCGTTTGTGTTTGTCGATAGTTCGTGTTAACCGTTAAAGTGGACTAATTTCTGAAATAAAATAATATTAATATACAGTGTATGTATATAAATATAGAAGCAAAGATACATACAAAACAGAAATTATGTTAATTTTCATTTTTTAAGAAAATTAATTTTGAATTTGCATTGAACTAACTTGAAAACTTAACAAATATATGACGGGAGATTACTGTAATTATATACACCACCAATAACGAGGCATGTGTTGAAAAAATCTTAAACAAAATTATCGCACAACGAATGAAACAAACTGAAATCGAAACGAACTTAAACAAAAATTGTTAAATTTAAATGACTAAACAAAACAACAACAACACAGCTTAGCCAAAGCGATTGTAGTATTGCTACGGTTCCGTATCCGTCAACAGTAACGGAATGTGATCGTTGATATTTTTGTGGAAACTTAAATTCAAAACTTATAAATAACTTTTAAATTGTGCTAAAGTAAGATATTTAATCACTCAATGATTAAAACTAATACTTAAGTTTGTGTCAAATAAATTTGATAAATTATTGTTAAAGCTAAAGCAATGTAAAGTAAAGTAAAGAAAAAAATGTTGACTTCAATATTTTGCAATTATTAAAATGCTTAAAAAACTATATAAAAAATGTAAGAAAATTTCATTTTATAAAATAAACATGTAATATTTATTACATAGCTATGTATATAATTCAAATAAATGCTAATAATTAACACCAGCGGTTCGCGATGTGACAGATTAAGAATTATTGTGCTTTCATAATGTTAATTTAATGCCCGAAAATATTATAAATAAAAATATTACAAAATTAATTTAACAGCTTCAAATGCAATGTTAAAAATAAATTCTTTGCAAAATGAAAACAAATAACTAAAATCTTAACAAAATTAAACAATTTTAATTTTGTTATTTGTTTTTTCTTTTTGCTTCTTCTGGTAAAGTCAATTTAATTTTGCGCTTTTGAATTTTTTCTCTTTTTCTATTTACCTTTTCATCGTTATTGTTATTGCTTTTTGTTTTTATTTTGCTCTTGCAATGATGCAATTGTTCTCATAAATAAGTTTTTATGTCAATGTTTGGTGTTGTTGTAATTAGTGCGAGTAATGCGCGGATAATCACAATAAAAACAAATAAAAATGCAAAAGAAATTACATTTATTCCCTCTTTTGAACCAAATCACACAACAACAATTAAGTAACGTGATTGTAGTACATGTTAAAAAAATATTAATTAAAAAACCTAAACATTTTGTGTAAAAATTATTTTTTAAACTAAAATCATGATTATTCTTATTAAAATTTGGTTTTAACTTTATTAATGAAATTAAAAGTACATTTAGTATGAAAACCGTTTCAAAGTGGTGAGTAGACTCACCTCACCTCACTCGTTTTCTTGTATTGTAATGTTGTAATGTGTGTCCTGGAGTAGATGTCACCCAGCAGCTTTATTTAATTTTCTTCGCGACGATTTTGATCTCTACGTAGGTCTTTTTTATTGCTTTGGACTGGTGTTCGTTTTTTATAGAATGATACTACACTGATCAGTGTATTTTCTTGGCAATATGACTTTCATATAATATAAAACTTTTAATAGTGATTCA